TCTTGCTCTTCGACGACTTGATCGAGCCACCGCGGCGCTCGTGCGGCATAGGCTTGAATGCGGCGGCGCGAAGCGACTCGGCGACGGAGAAGTTGCTCGCGACCGATGCAGGGCGGGAGCCGCCCACGGATGTGGCGGGCCGGACACCGGACCGGGATACAGGCGGAGCGCGCGCAACGGACGGCGGGCGTGAAGTGCGGGGTACAGAGAACGAGGACTGGCGCGGGAGCGACGCGGTCGACGGCCCGCGCGCCGGTGAAGGCTTATACGACGTCTTGCCGTTGACAGGCGGCAGAGCCTTCCTGTTGGTCGGCGGCGAGCGGCTGACGCTGGGCGAGCGGCGGCTCACAGCGGGTGCACGGGCCGGAGAGGGTTTCTTGGACATGAATTTGGCTTGGGTGGGCGAGGCTGAGACGTCGCGGATGGGTGCGGGGTTGTGGGCGGGCGAGTCGTCGATTGAGTATCCTTGGACAGCGCTCATGATAGTTATGGTGAGAGCTCGAAGGTCTCAGAGTTGCGCATGAGTTGACGTCTATATATTGTATTGGTCTAGATCCGGGCGCGAATCGAACTCCATGGACGCGGATACCAACCGCGGGAATGCACCGGTTGCCTTCGCTGTCGCTGTCGCGATTATCATAGTATTCGAGGGTGCTGGCAGAGGCCAAAGGCGGTCATCCAAGTGCAGACAGCCGGTGAAGGCGGGCGACCAAAGGTTTCGCAGACATGTCGAGGAAGGTGAGATGTCTTTGAAGAGCCTGAGATTTCGGTGCGGTGCCGCAGTCAACCTTAACCCTAGGGTAGGTTCTAGACCCGAAGCACGTTCTCGTTCCTTCGATGGTTATTCGCAAGGTAGAGCGTAAGTACAAGGAGCCAGCTTGTGGCTTATATAAGCATTCCATCAGTATACTGTGAGTGACGGGCGTGTGCGAGCCCGCACAGAGCGGTCAGGAGACTGAAATCCTGGTACCGTATTTCGCTGCACATGCTTCAGTGGCTTAAATAATATATTCGTATTAGCGCTTCCACGTGTGGGACCTTTCCCTGATGTTGTAGCTCCAACTCTGAAGGCTGAGCGCCCTGGAGTACATATCCTCAAGCTAGCAATCGTACTAGCCAGCGACCGCGCCGGGTAACAGTCCTTAGGCTTTAGGCACCATACACGAAGACCGGCGTCGATGAAGCGCCTGTGATAATGGGGCGAGATATGTGCATGTCGCTCGCCATACACGCTTGCTCGAGAGCGCTATATGAACCTGGCCACTCTGCAAGTACACTCAGAGCGACAGATGAGCGTAAGGTGCAGGCTGCTGATGCCAGTCTAAGGACGAAAAGCCAATGACCAATCGGCATCACGCACAAATCAGTGGGTCCACTAGCGATCAATTGCCAAGCGTGGGCTCGAGTGCCGGAGCCTCCGGAACCCTCACCGGCACCTCCGAAGCCTCACCGGAACCTCCGAAGCCTTCACCGGAGGCTCCGAGCGACCCAAATCCCTCACCAAGGTCTTCCCCCTGCCACCTATCGCTATACGAGTTTCTCAGACGATCACCAACGATGGTCCTCTTGCGTCCTGAATATTCTCCCATTTCGCGCTGAACGCGTGTATTTCCCGCAGGCTGCTCGCTCACGTGGCCGTCGTTGAGCGGGCCTCTGCCGTCGCGCACAGCGCGATGACAGCGACGGCTGCCCACTCGAGGCCAAGTCTGACCAAGGGAGACTACTGCCCACCGATGAGCATGTTGCTCTGTTATACACAGACATGTTCCCCGGCATCGCCCTACATGCAACGTGATGGTTGCGTCAAATACTTATCGGTTATTCTCGAGTGGCCGAGCGGGCAAGCAGCTATCGAGCAGCGGAGGGTGGCCTCAGAGGGCTGTCAGCGCCCGATGTCCCCTCCGTACAAGTGCAGAGTGCAATGGCACTGAGCCCTCTATTTGCTGGATGCAAGGTTGCACAGCGCTCCTTGCGTATCTGCGAGTTCTTACCCGCCATGGTCTATGCGGGTAGCGATCTCACAGTTCTCGCCGGCAGATGTCTTTCACGATGCCTGTGCAGCAGGCTCCGCGATCTCGACGGTATCCTCTCTCAACTACTGACCCTCGATAGATGCATACTGTGCTATTGTACGCGCGCCTCAGTGCGTAAGGTGGTCCGTCTATGTCCGGCAACCGCGGCCTGGCATATGGGTGGCAACAATCGCCCCAGTCTGGCCAGCATACATCGTCTCTGGCGTTGTTTAGTGCTGAGGTTCGTGCTTTCTCTTCTATCGCATATCAGGGTGCGCTGATAGTCTCTATCTGACGGAGTATAGTACCAGCGCTGCTCGGAATTCAGTCGGATGTGTGAGAACCGGCGACCTTCATCTCCGCAAGCAGCGAGGCGGCCACGTTTGATGGCCCGCGCAGAGCCGAGCCCTCCCTCTGCCAGTATACTGTGCTACTCACCTCACAGTCCATGTCGAGATGGCCCTAGACATCCTAGACCTGCACACCTGTCTATTCACACTAGACTTTCTCAGCAAACGGAAGAATCTGCAGGCCTACGTCCTCGACGACATCTTTGATGGGAAAGACGACGACAAGCGCGTCGAAGTTCTCGTCGCGAGGGGTCTGCACTGCCTTCGGACGCTTGTTCGTGCGACGAATGAGCAGCACGCCCTGGCAGCCTTCAAAGTCTTTCTGGTCGAGATGGTACGTTGACTTGTCAATATACTGTTTCGTAGCCGGCTAACAAGCATTCGTCACTACAGGAGGTGCTCAGAGAGATAGTACCCAGGCGAGAAGCGTCACAGCAGGCGAAATCTTCCTTCCTAGACCTCGTGAGATGTTTAGATGTTGATACCGAACGCGTATCTTTGTACAGCCACCGACGCACGATGTGGTCGATAGCACTGGACTCGTTCGCAGGTTGGACGTGGCGTTGGGCACCAGGTGTGAAAGATATAGAGCGCAAGTACGCGTGGTGGGCAGACCTGGGTACGCGATACGCACACTCTTACTTCACTGGACTGATACCATACTTGGCAGACACCTCAGAACAGACGGATTCGGTATCTACGGCGCAGTCTGCTCGGACGGTGTTGGTCAATTCAGCTGGTAGCCCGACTGTAGCTGCCACGATTCTGATGCCGCGCGATGGTCCAGCGACACCTCGGCGCGCATCGTCCACGACGCTGCCGAGCTTTTCGACACTGCTATCCGATCTTCGACTAGCTTCTACTTCGACTTGGTCGATGGCATCGACGTCTTCTCCTGCTTCTCGAAACGTGACATCTTCTACCTCTCAAAACGCAGGACCTTCTTCTATCTCTCGGAGCGCCACGTCCTCTCCTACAGGTTATCGAAGCGGAGCGCCTTCTCCTGAGCCCCGGCACACGACGCCAGTTCCACTTGTTCTCGCTGCACAGCCAGTCAGTTCTTATACCGGCCATCAACACTGCCTTGAGACGGTCAAACAACCTGCGGTGCTGGTGAGCAAGAATTACCTCGTCTCAGTCGAGCGTATCTGACCCTCATCCGTGAAAACTTTCGCAGCCCCCTAGAATGCGAAAGCCAGGGCAGACTCAAGAGATGCCGATGACGCTTCCTATCCCACAGGTCGGAGGCGGCCATGATATGTGTGCGGGCTTAGTTCAAGAACTGAGAGCGAGGGTGCGCACCTTCTGCTTCATGTGTCGTTTATGCAGCTTACACGCGGCATTAGACATTCGGAACTGATAACCTCGCTGCTATGCGATCCCTAACCTCTGTACCACACGACACTATAGAGAACTTGCGCAGACGTAAGGCTGCAGTGGCAATGGCGGCCTCCAATAGAGAAAGCATAGGTAGACCCAGAGGCGCGAAGCACCAGGAATCGACACCGCTGCCTCCGCCTTTCACTCGCGTTCCGTTACCGCAGCCGTTACCACAGGCAACAGCATACAGTACGTGCTATGACAAGGGCCTAATTGACCTACTGCTTACACTAAGACGCTTACAGATCTCCTATATTACCCGAGTCTGCAAGCGTCCTCCCTCAATGCGGACTTGATTCGTCAAGCTATCGAGGACTCGGATCCACGCTATGCTGCGGTACGCAGACGCATGCAGGAGGCAAAGGCAGCACCGATGGGAAGCCTGGGTGATGTGTAGTTGTAGTTAGCGCTTTCAACCGTATTGAGGCGTTCACTGCCTCTATGATACTTAGGACCGCTCGGCGTGTCTCTGATCTCACAACACGCGCTGTCTCGACGTCTCGGCAGTTCGCAGCCGAGTGTGCATGAATACAAAGAGATACACGGCTACATCGTGGTACAAGCGCTACATGGAAACAGAGGGTTGGGGATCATCATCAAGAATACAATACAATACATGTTGGACCTGGAAAAGTAGAGTGAGAACTTATACGGGAGCTCGGACGTGAAGGGTAGCTCACCTCACGAAGAACTTATCAGCCTATTCATATAGTGTTGTTACCGCACTCAGATATCTTGACCCAGTCGGATGATACACGATGTCCGGGAGGCGCTTCGGCGCTTATTCTAACGCAGTTTCCAAGCTGCGGCGCACTCATCCAAGCCACACATGCACGGCATTCCACCCGTCTCTGGCCGCCACATGTCTCGTAACAGGACAAGGGAAGTCTTGAGGAACAGGTGCTACATATCAAGAACTCTCTGAGTTCCCCATTCAACGCAGCAGGGAAGAATACTGTCGGATCGCCGGCGAATACGGCAAATTCGCCCGGTGCGGTTTGGGGAGGTGATCTTGTATATGCTCCGTTGCGGGTTACATATCGTAAGGATCTCATTAGGAGCTTTGAGAGCTTCAGACCGCTTTTATCGGGAATGATGCGACGCAATTGGAAGGCGTCGAGTAGGTATGAGATGGCGTAGATGTCGTTCGCAGCGTACTGAAGCATGTGAGGCGGAAGAGGCCGTTCCATCCAGCGGAATGATTCATTCTGTTGGTGCATCTTCTTGACGGCTTCTAACGGTAGAGCAGCGGAGATCAGCAGCATGACATGTACGATGTGAGACTGAATACTCACCATCCTTGCGCAAAGTGACGTACGGCACATATAGGCGCATTGCTTGATCCATACCAATGACACGGCGTATACCGGAAAACCGATCCTTCCTCCAGTTTACGTAGATCTCTCTGTAGCAGTGTGGTAGGCGCTGTTGCGCAGCGCCACAAGGAAGTGAAAGAGCCTCGGCCAACTGCAAGTCAAGTATAGGCGAAGTCTGGACGCCAAACGTGTCCCAGATCTCCAAGTAATCGGAACGTCCATCGAAGGTGACCTTCGTGATGGATTGCGTCGACAAGATCCATCGCAGCGCACCGATCGCGTACTCGTTTTCGATGAGCGCCGGCACGTCAAAGATGAAAACAAGCTGACTGCCGGAGCTTAGAGGCGTCCCCAAGCACAGCAACGATAACTCCCCGTCAGTGCGGCCGAAGTCGCGGCCTTCGCAATCCAAGCAGACGTACTCGTGTTGTGAGAGCTCAGCGACAGCGCGCTCGATTTGAGCGTTGGTTTTGCAGAGCGTGAATGGCGCTGCCTCGTTGTGATCCTCTACCTGAGGAATCGCGGTGTCGGTATCACAGAGTGTGAATGGCGCGTCGTCATCGTGATCCTGAAGCTGAGGAGTTTCATCTTGTATGCCAACTGCGTCAGGACCAGAGCCAAGCCGCAACGTCAGTCGTATATAGACTTCTTGCAGAGTTGGGATATACGCGTCCTTGGGTTTGTCCGGTAAGGGATGGGTTTGTCGAAGTGAGAGCGTGGATTCCTGTTGACCCGTTGCACCTGTGATGATTGAATAAGTGTGCTCAGGAATCGGAGTCGTGGTAGGTAGCGTACGTCGGCACCCCTTCGCTTTCTTGGTAGTACGATTATGACGCGGAGCGCAAGAAGGGCTGATATCGTTGTTGGACATGGTAGAAGAGCGGCAAGGTGGGGTGGTCTGCGTAGTCGGCGAGGTCAGCACTTATCGAGCAGGAGAAGTCGTTTACACGGGCACGTACACGCCTTATCCACGCCTGGGCACGCGCGCAGAGAAGATTGCGGTGTGTACCCGTGGACGATCAGCGGCCTTTCGAGGCGCAGGGCGCCAGCCTGAGAAGGTTCAAGAAGCCAGGGAATAAGCGCCTAGATCGACACAGTCTACACCGTCCCATCCCGCCTTCGAGACCAGCCGAGGATGCTATCAGGCTTGAAAGCATCGCGACATTGAGTTTGTAAGTCAGACGTTCGCCGTCAAGTTGCGTAGGTAGAGAGCAGTCCGTTACCGAGTAGAGAACTTCGTCGGCGGCAGATAAAGCACGACCACGACCGTAATGCACGTCAAAAGACGTAAAGTCCCCAGAATAGGAAGATGCCTGTCTGCTTTCGCGGACTATGCCCAGTGCGCGAACGTGCATTGCCTCGGGGAGATCATGGGCGACATCAACAAAGTAATCGTGTGGCCTTGACGGATGCCGAGATGATCATTGATGGCCGGGTACTCACGGCAACTTCCGGAGCGCTCAGGGAGGTGTCGCCGTACTTATGGCGCTTCCGTCGGGTCGTCTATTCGCTTTATTGTGGTCTACTGTACCATGGTGTCTGGCCTCTCTGACCTACTGTACCCGCTGCAGCAGTTACTAGACGAACAGACTTGTAGCACGGAGAACGGGTCTTGTATTCCCAGCAGGGAGCGGTTCGCAAATGACATTCGTTTAATAAACAACTTCAACTACACATGCACATCCCCCGATCTGCCCGACGGCGCATACACCCGAAGGCCGCGGGAGGTGCTCTCAGCCTCTTCGCTTTCGTCCGCTCCGCCGTGGACGCGTCCTGGTATAAGGAGGACCATCCGAGTGTTCGGCATCTTCGTGGGATGCGACTTCGCCTACAATGGCATCATCGCACGCCGCTGGTGCATGTTCCGACGCTCCAGAGTCACGTCCTTCGCCAGGTTCTGCGCCCGCAGGGTCATCGTTCTGGTTCTGACATCAACAGCAGAAATCAGCTGAAAACACATTGCGTACATGAGCATGGGCAGAATCGGAGCCCACGGCATGTTGAGGGGCTTGAGGGACCGATGTGATAGGGATGTTTAACAGCGCGAAGGCTTGGCTGATCGTCGACGCGAGAGGCGATGGCGTTGAACGAGACACTGAGATAGACGACGGAGAGATATGGGGAGTTGTCGTTGGCAGGTGTGGGGGCATGCCGGAGTCGCCGAGTTCAATCAAAGCTGGCACGGCGGGCGAGGACGACGGGGAAGGCATGTGGGTCGGTATCTCTAGCGGTGATGTAAAGATAGGTGTTGTACCTGCGGAAAGCGACAACATGAGTGAAGGAGAAGCCACACTCTAGATAGCAACACACTTATGACGAGCCACCAGGCGAAGGTGCCGTTGATGTTTACTTTGCCGACCTCCCACAAGGGCACATAGTCCGCGTATCGCAACAGTAGGCCACTCCACACCATGCGCTGGGCCTGAAGCGAGAGAGCAGACGGCGCTTGAGCCCGGAACACGGCGAACATATTCAAAAACGAATCTCTGGCCGCTCTATTGATGGCCAGTTGAGGGCGAGCGTTGTCGAGCATTGACTACCCAATGTGTCAGTAGAGTCGAAGTCATCATGAGGCAAACTGAGGTATACCATCTCGGCCCGGAGGATAATGTTCGCGGGGCGAACTTGTTCTCCATCGGTTGCACGCGCGAGCACACGAATAGCCTCCAATCCGCGCGCCACGAGAGTCTCGGCGAGCTTGTCGTTGTTCAAGTGAGAAACATTGAAAAGCTGGAGCATGTCGGTGGGATCCTTCGAGGCCATGTAACTGAGCGCGAAGGCAGCGATGTACTCTTGGGGATGCATCGTGAGGGTAGAGGGATATAGAAGCAAGTGTTTGGAAAGGCGGGGGGAGGGAAATGTTGACGCATAGTTCAATGCGACCTTAAAGGAATATATGTGCAGTGCTATTCGCACGCTTCTCTTGAGCATCTGTACCATCATCAACCCTCGTATTTCGCGCACGATGACAAGAGTGACCTTTACCTTTGACGCTGGCATGCCCCGGGGTATCCGGTCGATGGAGTGAGTAGAAGTGCGAATCGTCACATCAGCCCAGGGTCAGTCGGCTAGCCAGCCTACGCTGTTCACGATCAAGCCCAACATCGGCGACAGGCGCGTGAAGGTGTCATGGTCGTCCCGGTATAGGTAGGCGCTGGCCAGTAGTGAGCAGGCGCGACGAGGAGCAATCTACATGCCGTCGATGTGGCCGAGGGTAGATTTAGTTATATGAGACTGCCTCGATCAAGGCTATGTGAAGCCATAGTACTATTTCGAAAGAAGTGCAGACGTAGACGAGGGTTCCGGATGGTGGCGAGTGCTTCCGGGCAGCAGGGACGTTATTGGTGGCACGTGCACGTTTCCACGCTCAAGTTCCCGGTTCCGCGCAAGGTTCCGCGTTCTTTCAGGTTCTCTCGTACGCTCACATCGCGCCAACATCGTCGTAGACATGAGTGTTGAGCTCTAGATAAATGTCTGGGGGTGTAAGAGGGGCTTGCATTCATTCATATAGACGATGCACGAATGAGATAGACAAGAACAGTTCTCGATGTCCCGGCTTGGTTACAGTCCCGGCGATCCGGGATCAATGAGTGGCGAGTTATCGACCACCAGTCTGACGTTGGGACTAGCTTCTGACAGCTGTTAATGGGTGGTGGACTTTGTAAGCTTGAGTGAGCTTCTATATAGATACGGTCCAAGAAGGATTCAGATCCCCAACCAGATACGATCCAGAGGCATCCCGGTACTTGGGGGACATCAATGTCACGCAAGTACATATTGTGAGTTGATTGTCGTTCTATCTCACTAGCAGATGTCGTACGAATATATTCTTATCCTAACCATACTTGAGTCCCGATGTGCTGTGGGCAGCTGCGAGCTCACAGCACTGAACGCGACTCAAACCGACGCGGGATTCGACGCGCCTGATTGATCGGGACATGGTCCCGCATCGGAACCTCTCGACGAACGAGTTCCGATCAATGTTGCGCTGAACGTTGAACACCAACAAGGCCCGGCTTTCTTTACAGTATCGAAAACAATGGCTCAGATGCGATTCGACTGATGCTCTTCAGTCATGGATATCAACCTAGAAGTGGTGCGCACATCCCGACATATGCAGTATGCTGCCGGAGGGCTCTTCACCGAATCGAGGTCCCGGTTCCGGACATCGCAGAGCTCAGGCTCGCATTCAGCCGAGTGCATCTCAAATATCCTTTAAATGGCTCTGTTTGAGAGGGCATACGCTTACCGACGCGTCAGGCTTGTCATGGGAGTACTCAATCATTGCAGTTCCCGGGCATGAGCGACATCGGAAGACGCGCTATCTCAACTGGTGCAGCAATAAAGACTTTTGCCCTTCCTATGGCAAGCCCAGGGCACGACGCACAAGACTGACGGATGAAGGTATCGAGGTAGACTTGCTCGCACTAAGACCGTAGAGGCTAGTACAAGGTTCAAGCGTACAAGGTTCAAGTTGCAATAGCACTTGAAGTACGATGCAAGATAATTCGTACCAGAGTCATAATTCATCATGTGTATAACAGGTTCTGATTCAGATGAAGTGTAAGAGTGACGGTAGAGGTATCGATACTGCATAGTGCCATCCGGCAAGCGACCGGCAGAGGTGCCGGTGCATCGGACAAGCATCGGAGCCAAATTCAAGACACCAGCGCGGTCCGCGCAATCCAGGTCGAGTTTTGCCTCAAGCTCGATATCATGTAAGTAGGGCCAGTACAGTACGGGGAGATGAGGGCAGGAGCTAACCCATCTCATCGCCGACGCAGACCGACGGGTTCCGAGGGGTGCCGGACCGTCAAGCGCGTGTGATACTATGATGAGTCCCGGTTGACCGGGACTGACGACGTTCCTCCTTCCTTCATCTTGCATAACTAGTGCCCGAATCAGCAGCACTTTTCCTTACCCTTCAGTCGACTCGACTGCTTCAGCGACTCGGTGCTCGTCGGTTCCGCCCCCTTTTCTCCCACAACCCACGTGAACGCCAGCCGAGGGCGCTTGTTGAAGGCCGCAAGGCGGCATATCGACATCGACTGGATTCTTAATCCGCCAAACGCGGGGCGGACAGTGTACTTCACGCTTTGAGGGATGGTCCTCTTTAGTCGATAAGATACAGCTATTCTGGCCGAGCCGTCCGATCGACGCTCTATCTTGACCGCGCACCATGCTCCTCCGACATACGTTCTGCTGCTCCGACCTATGCATTTTGCTGCTCCGACCGCATCCCACCACGTCCGAGCATCGGAGTGCTTGTAGGTGTCCGCGATACTACTTGAAGCCTTACAATACGGGGCCAGGACGCCTCTGATCCGCTCTCTGCAGTACTACTACACCTGGCTGTCTGCGCTGTCAATATCGCCCACGACCGAACTTCTCAATGGCCGACGAAGCGGAACAATCAGCAGAGCAGGATCAGCTGTGTGAGAACGCGGGGACCACACATTCGGAAGCCTTAACTCGCGAAAGCCGCGGTTAAAAGCCCCATCAACACCTCCCTTTCCTCTGCCCTTCTGTTACTCGCGCCCTTCCCATTCTCTTGCGGCCGTACTGCCATGCATCCAGACCCACAGGTGGTCGCTCTCATCCTAGAGCACCTTGCCGATCCAGTGAACTTGAAGAGATTCGTCCTCGACCGCATCCTGATCGACAAGAACGACGACAAGCGTGTGGAAATCCTAGTCGCCCGCGGCTTGCAGTGCTTTCGCAAGTTCCCTCATGCAACGAACGCTCGACAGATCAAGGCCGCTCATAAGATCTTCATCGCTGAAATGGTACGCTCATTCCACGCATTCGTGGACTCCATTGCTGATCTCTTCTTTCAGAGAGAGCTTTGCAAGGCCGTACCTACGACGGAGGAACTTCGGAAGGCGAAGGCATCGTTTCTGCACCTAGTGCAGTGCTTTGTTTATATCACCCTGCTCCTTCGCTTGCCCATACTCCACCGCACGGCGTGGCCGCGATTGCTTGGGGAGCACGCTGCCTACATACCGCTATGGTCATCGGGGATAGAAGACATTGACCCGCAGTATGCGTGGTGGGTCTGCCTTGGTGGAAAACACGTTGCCATCTACGTCGAGTGTCCGACTTACCCTTGAATAGAGACGTCCTCTCAGACTGTCCCCAACAGCGCTACACCACAGGCAATGGTCGATTCGAACACTGCGAGCCCAACGACATCACAAACACCAACCAACTCCACGACCACTCAATATACCGTGCCTACACCTGGTGCTTCACCCGCCCACATCCCTTCCTAGCTCTACCGCGCACCATTCGACCACAACCTCTCCAATACCTTCCTCTCACGCTGTCCAAAGCACATCCGAGGCTCCGCTTGGTAGCCCCGTGTCACCCTGCGCTGTCTCCTCTGGCGCACCCGCCCGGCCGCCTGCAGTGGTGAGCATCCCATACAAGCACTCGCATTCTCTGAGTGATGCTTACCTGCATATGTTCAGCCGCCTAGGTTGCGCGGGACATCATTCGCGCTGGCGAGCAGTGCCCATGTGATGGCACCCGTAAACGGCGACAACCCCGCCACACCGACACCTCCTGCGGCGAGCGGGCACAGGATATATAGGGAGATGAACATTCTCGGCGCGGGTGATGAGCAGGTGGGTTGCTCAATCGTGCAAATCCAAGAGCATATGATTGAATGAGTATTTCCAGGAAAATATACGTGTACCATCGGCAGGTCCTTCGAGCAGAGCTTCCGATGCTTACGCGGAGGACACCGAGATCTCGCGCTTCGGAAGCGCGGCAGGACATGGCTCAACTCTCAAACGCAAAGCTACCCCGCCTTCTCTGTACCTTGAAGGCATGAACCAGGACGAACGCATGGCCAAACGTCAAAAGACCGCAGGTTCTCTTACATCGCACGTCGAGACGCCAGCGCATAGTACTGGTGTGTAGCCTGTTGTCGTGTTCTAGACCAAAACGTTCAGATGGGCTGACTTGGCAGTAGACAGCGCATGTCCATACGGTCAAGTACTGCAGCAACTGAAGAAAAGCGTACGGACACTCGTGTTAGTGGTGGACGACTTGTGCATCGCCCATAGCAACCGATGTCAACCCGCCACGCCATCACGCTGCGAGAACTGCGCGGCTCAGGACCAGGTTCCGTCCGCGGTGTGACATTGGACGATTCTCGACCAGCATTACAAATACAAGAGTATCCCAATATGCCAGTCTATCCTTCTCATTCATACGCAATATCGACCGTGCTACATCTCCTCCAGCAATGCCACCGCCCTCGCAGATCGAGGCATGATGTCGCACGCAAATGAGCTCGGTGTCCTGTGTATTTGTCAGATCCGTTGCGTGAGGTGACTTATTGATAGCTCACCTAAAGACCGAGTTGCGATACTCAACAACAGGCTCCACGTTTCCGCCTGCATCGTCTTTGGCCTTTCTCATTTCGAAGGTTGCTAGCATGCATGCGATGAGCAGCCATATCGATGCATCAACTAGATGCATTCCAGGGCATATCCTACGCCCAAAGCCAAAGGCATAGTTGCGAGGATCTGAGGTGGCGCGGTACTCGGGGGTGAGATCAAGAAAGCGCTCGGGTTTGAACACGTCTGGGTCCGGATAGAGAACAGGATCTCGCAGGATGGCCCTAGGTACTGTTGAGCCTATAGTACAAAGATCCGACGCGCATATGCTTCCGTACCAGATGTTAGCAAAAACGAAGGACCCTTTTGGTACATGCATCCCTTCGTATGTGTCATCTTCTACGAGTCTATGTGGCAACCCTTTGAAAGTGCCGTGAGCTGCGATTCACGACTTGTATGTTATAGCACTCACCAAGCGGCACGGGGCACGCATAGCGCAATGTCTCGTCTACGACAGCACTCACTAAGGTCGAGGATGAGTCTCATTTTGTGGCCCTTGGACAAGGAACGAACCATATGGCAAGCGGCCGCGGTCTTCAAAGGTAGGCAAGCGGTCAACGCCCACGACACTATCGATCTCGACCTGCGCACGTCGGAGAACTTCTGGATGTAGGATCATCGCGAGCACAAAGTGGCTCATTGTCGCGACGGTCTTCGGGGCAGATGTCAAATCAGTGATGGAACATGATGAAACAGGATGTTTCGACGACGTACCGTATCAAGACTGGCCGCATACATCGAATTCGCGGTCCAGCTGAGGTCGTGTTCAAACTCTTCGGTGAGGGCACCGTACTTTTGCTCCAGAAGAGTTGAACAAAACGATACCGGTGCACTTCCGCTCGCCTACGTCGACATAGGCATCCTTCAGTTGTATCGCCAGAGCAACACTGAGGCTCACCACCGCGGTCTTCATCCAAGCGTACGGTTGATCCACCCACGCCTCCATCTTCGCCTTCCACTCTCGAGCCAAGCTCCTGAAGCGTGTACCCGGTAACCACTCCGGTAAGTTCTTCACTGGTGTATCGCGTCAAATGTGTCGCTGCCAACAACAGGTGAAAGGTTACGGACATACTTTGCGGAAAGATGTCGACAAGCCACACAGAGCCGCTTGACGCGATCCGATTTGCGAGAAGATCGATGCACTCCTCGGAGAAGTCAATCATAGCATCAGGACCTTCCGTTACGGGCTTGTATCCGTAGACCACTTGCAAAGTCAGTCCTCCCGTGTACCTGCGTTCTGATTCAACCATCGAGTCGCACAAACAATCACCAAAAGGACTGGTCAAGTACCTTCGGAAGTGTTCCTGGTATTGCTTCGGCGTCCGTACCAGCTGTCGCAGTACGTCCATCGTCGCATCCACAATCAAAGGGAGGTATGAAGGTATGTGTTGCGGTCCGAAAGCGTTCGCAAAGAGGCGGCGTTGTCTCCTGCGGAAGTCATGGTCAGCGACCTCGCGCGTGATATCACAGTCTTCTCGAGCGTTACTCCTCACTTTGACTGCTCCCCGTAGCCCGTGAAGGCAACCATGTCGGAGCATCCGCATCTAGGGTGGGTGAGCTCATATCAAAATAGACGAAGGGAGAACACGTACAGTTCACCACTCATCACGAGGTGTGGCCGATCAGAGTATATACCGCCTCGTCGGTCCAACAGGTCGAATGCCGCCTTACGGGAGTTCAAAAACACGATGCCTTGACCCATCACTGACAGATATATGACGTCGCCTGAGCACTGTGTGAGTACTTCGCCCACCCGCTTCGAAGAGACATAGAGGACACACCGAGCTCTTTGCCCCACCGCTGCGCGACTAACCACAACTCCTTCGACATCATCTCCCGCGCAGCGCCGATGACCGGCCAAAGTTTGGGACTGGGCGGAAGACGCGTAATCCTGCGTGAGAGCAGATACGCCCACCATCCCAAGACCAGAGCAAGTACGGCTACGTCAGCGGATGTATACATGGCGGCCATGGGAAGAGCGCGAAACCGACGAGCTTGTCTTGCCCCGAAGCCATCGCTTTGTATGCGGGCGACTCGCTCAATGGAGTAATCAGGCTAAACGTGATCGGCAGATAGAATCGCGGGTATCAGGTCCGGATAGCACCGAATGCAGCGCCAGTGCCGATGTGCAGCCCGGAGAGTGCGGGAACGGATCCCAAAGGATCGCAAGCCGGGGTGCTTCCATGCCTTATAAGTCTTATGAGCCTTCGAAGGGGTCGGCGCGCCTGAGAGTATGATGAGGTCGGAGAGGGTAGCGGGCAACGTGACGGTTCTAAGTTTCTTCATGTAGTCAAATACGCATACAAAGCTCAGGCCAAGATGGACTAGGACATTCGAGGCTCAAGCAGGAATATCAAAAGGAAAGATGCCACAACCGGTTCTCGGCATGAACCACGGCGTCCACATACAACATCATACTCATTCGAAGGATGTAGCGCGTGGGCTGTATCAATACGAGCGCAAATGCCTCGATTGATCGCTGCTTCAAGGTTGAACCGGGTCCTGTAGCTAAGATGCAATCAGTCTCCGGTGAATATGTGATAGCAGAAAGTCCTGTGCTTACTATATCTTTGTGAAGGATGAGTCAGAGACGCCTTATGCTCCGAGGTCAACCCAGTCCGACTCCACCGAGTGTCCGGGCAGCGCTTCGGCCGTGGCTCTGACATGTTTTCCGATCTTAGGGGCTTGGACCCAAGCAACGCATGCCCGACATTGCACTCTCCTTCGAGCGTCCCGCACTTGAAAGCACACCAAAGGCAGGTTCGAGCCGCAGGTATGGCAAGCTAGGAGCATTTGAAGCGGCCCAGACAGCGCGATCGGAAAGTAGAGTGTACGGTCGCCAGCGAACAGAGCAAACTCGCCGGGAGCATTGAATTGTGCACGCGTCGACACGCCATTGCGAGTCACGTAGCGAGTTGACTTCCGCATGAGCTTGGGTAGTTCCGGGCTTGCGTTGCTTGGAATGATATGGCGAGACCGAAACGTCTTGAGAAGATGGGCGATGGCGCGTACATCGCATGCGGCGTAAGATAACAGCTCGTCTGACAGCGGTCGATCCATCCAGCGGTACGACTCGTTCCGTCTATGCATCTCTTTCACTGCGTCTGTCGAGAGCCATGCACATGGTCAGCTCCGTATCAGGTGAGCATGACCCGTGTGAGAACTCACCGTGCTTTGGAAGGACGAGGTTAGGTACGTATGTGCGCGTCGCTTCATCCATGCCAATGATACGACGCATCCCCTCGAATAGTTCCTTGTTGCTTTTGACGTATCTCGCGCTGAAGTAGAATAAGCGGACCATCCCGCGTCTACCAAGTGCGAGCGATTCAGCGAGCTGCAGATCAAGCACAGGTTGAACATCTACGCCGAGTGCGTCGCGTATCTCAAGGTAGTCGCATCGCCCATCATACGTGACTTTAGTTGTGGCATCGCTAATAAGGAATGCGGAGAGAACGTCGCGTGCTTCTGGATTGACGAGCAAGGAGGGGATGTCCAAGATGAAAACATGCTGCTTGTCACTCGCAACAGGCGTGCCCAAGGAGAGAAGCGACAGGGTGCCATTCAATTTCCCGAAATCACGGCCTTCGCAATCCAGGCAGACGAATCTGTGCTGCGACAGCACTGAGACGGCACCATGAACTTGGGCCGCCGTAGTACAAATGGTAAAGGTGACTATTTCCGTGGGCGAGCTCTGGGGTTGCACTGGTTGGGACATGTTTGATCGATGGTGCTGAGTATATGGTGGCGGCTAAGGCGAATAGGGCAAGATCGTCGAGTGCAGACTATGTATGCAACAGAGCGCACTTCCTGCACGATATCGCTGTGAGTGTCGGCTCAAGCCGAGAGTTGCTTCACTGACCTGTTCCAGATTCAGGGGGTGGAGCGCTGCTTGGACGCGTCTCGTCCGAACTACTTAACTGTTATTCTCGGTGAGCGCGCTATATTCGTAAGACATATCTGCATACGCACCTGAGAGTGCCAATATGGATGTAGAAGCTCGTGCAGCTGACTGCGCATATCAAGCGCTGAGAACTCCCTCGCTTGCGGTGAAGTATACATATTTCCGCTCTCGTTCTCGTGTGAGCGCGCGTTCTGGTATAAGAAAGTCTCTATCCAGAGCGTATCCGGCCTTCAGAAAAGTGCATCATTCATCTAGCGACGGTCCAAGCCCACGCAGCCTGGCGCCCAGGGTCATGGCAGTAGCAAGTAAATCGCGATGACGGTCGTCGGTGGTCGCCGGGTTCGGGCCTTCGGGCCGGGTTGGAAGCAACGAAGCGTCGACCGTCCGCGCACGAATCGCGCATTTCTCCTTCTGCGCTCAGCTTGCGCTCATGCCTGGGGTCTATTGCTCTCCTTAGGCGTAATTGAATCGGACTTAGACGAGCTCATACCCTTCGATCTCGGTGCTATCAGTACCGCAGCGAGGACCCAGGTCAGATGCACGGACGAGCTATCGTTGCTTGCACCCTCGGCGATTTACTCGACTCGTACCGGTGTCTGTTGCGCGCATTATGGAAGAAGCTGTGGAGCATCCCTTCCTCGATATGTCCGTCCAAATACAGCTATGTCTGTTCCGTCGCATCCTTCATCTAGGGCATCAGTGGCCCGCCCCGCTCTTCCTCCACCTCAGCTGTTCCTTTGCCCCTCAGAACGGGCTACAGCGGTTTGGCGTATAGCATAGCAGACCGCGCGCACACGACACGCTCGTTGAACGCGCGCGAAGAATGCGTGAATCCTGCTACCGGCTACGCAACAGGTCGTTCTCCCGGTCGCTCAAGTCGGACAAAGTGTGGAAATTCCGAGGACATTCACCTTGATCCTCTATGAGAGAATGGGTAGTTTGGGGTAGTCGCGTACGATTTCGCAACTCTTCTTCTGCGCAGTGAGCCTTGAAACAATGACGCTATAAAGCCATCCTCGGGAAGGGCGGGGCCATATCGACGCCTTCCGTACTCGACGTCGAAATGCGCACCCATCTGGTTGCCTCGCTATATCTCCTCCCCTGCTCATGGGCGTTGAGAACAGGTTCCAACTTCTCCCGCCATGTTCTTGAAAGTCGGGATTCTGCTCCTCTAGGCTTTGTCAAGATGAACGCCGCACCGCCAGATACAACATTTGAGCTTCGGATACAGTTGGCTAACTCTGACATCTCTGGGTTGGAAGAGCGCTTGAAGGTCATCAGCAGCCCATCAAGCAATGAATATGGCAGGTGGCTCACGCGTGGAGAGGTTTGCGGTTTCCTTGGTATCAGGATCATGTCATTTGCTCATCGTGAACTAGGTCGATACATACGTCTCGCCGACGTCTGAGACCGTCGGCGCTGTCAATTCCTACCTTTCCCAACATGGCCTCGCGGCAACAGCCTCCACCTCGGCAGGAGATGTTCTCACAGTCAGCGTCACGGTCGAGCAGGCCAACGCTCTCCTCGGAACCGAGTATTACACCTTCCAGTCCACAGAAACCCACCAATCGACCGTGCGCACCCTCCAGTACTCCATCCCCTCTTCCCTCAAAGGCCACATCAACTATGTTCATCCTACAACTTCGTACGTACTGATACTTCACGTATCACCGCCTCGTGCTCATCTGCGTCGAGGTTCCCGAACTATGCCAAGAGCGGATTACGCCTCACGAAGACACTGAACGACGCCTCATCACCGTCATCGGATCCCGTCAATGCAACTTGCGCTGAGATTATTACTCCCAAGTGCATACAGCAGATGTATGGCCTCCCGACGGATCCTGCGACTGCCACGTCTAACCCGAACGACTCAATCACAGTCACTGCATATGGTTCGTACGCTGCTTGACCATGATCTCGGATCATGAGCTGACTTGGTATGCGTACACAGGTGATCAATACGCTCAACGGGCTGATCTTCAGGTAAGCCGCTGTAGACACCGCTGTGAGATCCACGACGCTGATCCACAGTAGGACTTCCTCGAGATCCTCCGACCCGATATCGACCCCAACACCACTTACGAACCCTTCTATATCGGTGACGGCCCTAAGGACCCCCAAGGATACAACTTTTCAGGACTGGAAGCTGATCTTGACGTCGAGTATACTGTGAGCGAGGGAATCTATCCCCGGCGGCATATCTGACTTCGCTCTCCTCAGGTCGGCTTAGCCACAGGCGTACCGGTTCGCTTCGTCTCGGTCTCCGATTCGGCCGCCAACGACGACACTGGCGGCTTCCTCACTACTGCTGAGTCACACTTGGCGAATGCGAGTAGCTCGCACGTTGTGACTACATCGTACGGAATGTAAGTGCCTCTTGTACTTATCTCCGGATATGCCACTCACGATGTGTATCAGCGATGAAGACACCATGTCGGTACCCATTGCCCAGTAAGTCGCCTTGTATAAACAACGCGCCAGCGATACTGACGTATTGTAGGTCTCTATGCAACATTTACATGCAGCTGTCTGCCATGGGCACGACCGTGATCTTCGCATCCGGCGATGGTGGCGTCGCAGGCGGTGGCTTCAAGTCTTGCACGACGTTCGGTACGACCTTCCCATCCGGATGCCCATAGTGAGTGTGCTCACGTACACATACGTACTCCATGCTTATGATATCTCTCAGCGTATTATCCGTCGGCGCCACTCAATACAACGGAACAGAAACCGGCGCCTTCCTCAGCTCTGGCGGCTTCTCCAACATCTTTCCACGCCCATGGTATCAAGACAAAGCCGTTTCCGGCTTCCTCGATTCCCTTGGCGATGAGTATGATGGCCTGTACAATGCGTCAGGTCGTGGGATTCCGGATGTTGCAGCGATCGGCGCCCAGGTCGAAGCGGCGTGTCAAGAGGTCTTCGGCTTGGTAGCCGGTACCAGCATCAGCGCGCCTGTCTTCGCGTCGGCCATCGCCATCCTGAACGACAGGCTTCTTGCCGCTGGCAAGCCAACGCTCGGGTTCATCCAACCTTTGCTGTACGAGAACCCACACGCGCTGACCGACATCATTGGCGGGAACAATCCCGGCTGCAACACGGTACGCCGAAGTCGTCGTTGTGTCCATCTCACCATCTGCTCACAGCTATCTTCATAGACTGGGTTCAATGCAGTCGAAGGATGGGATCCCGTACGTATCTTTCCGCTCGTTATCAAATTGTCACCCTGAGCATGATCCCTAGATCACCGGTCTTGGTGTACCCAACTTCGACAGTATGTTGGAGGTCGTCGGAATCGATGGCTAGGGATCAATCTTTTGAGAATCGAATGCTGTGCCCGATATATTGCTACTTGATATTATATGGAAGTAAATGGTCCCTATTGCATGTTGCATGTTGCATTATCGCACAGTACCCTCTGCCTTACGAACGATCGCGATACCTGAGATGCACTGGTGAACTCGAAGGTTATACAATTGTCGGAAGGTCAGACCTTCCCGATAGACTCGAACATGATGCGAACAAGTAGGTACATCAGTAGTACGACTTGCTGCAAGGTTGCTCTTCTATCGAGCGCACATCACTCCGCTTGATCGTGTGCGGCTCGAGCGTGTCCGGAAAGGCAAAAACGAAGCGACGCCTGCAGGATTCGAACCTACGCCTCCAAAGGAGAAGAGATTTCTAATCTCTCGCCGTAACCACTTGGCTAAGGCGCCGTTGAAGACTTTTCAAATCATAGCAATATAATCTTTTGTAACATTTATATTGAAGGGCCTGTGCAACTCCTGAAATTGCGACTTGATCCTCGCCACCATGCCGCACCGGGCCCAGCATGGTCTATCCCATACGCTACATGCTGAACACTGCAACTCGCAACGGCGTGTTTGTCTCATGCGTAGCTCTTTCTCAAGAGCAAGCACGCGGGATGGGTGTACGTAGCGAGGCCGCCGTGCAGGCTTGTCAAACCAACAAGCCGACTCGGCGAAGACATGGATCAACTCTCTCGACGCGGCCCGAGCAACAATACGTACGGCTTGCTACGGACGATCTCGAGTTGCGCAGTTGCGCGAACGTACTTTAAAGCGCGGGTGACTGTCAGTTACGATAGAACATACCCTCGTGAACATGGAGTGTCAACTCGCGGTTGTCCATGCGGTGTCAGAACTATATGTTCGGATATGTGTAGTGCTCTCATGTCGGCACCCACGGTATAGATCAGTCGACCCTGAAGGCTCTCGTATAGGCCTCAGTACAGGTCGCGCCTCAACCAGTCGGTATATATCGCACCTTACCAGTCGCCGAGCGATGGGTGTGGCGTCGGACATCGGCGTTCTACACGGCAAATACCCGGCGTACAAGACTGCACAGCAACGTGTTCGAGGCATCCTTGCATGACTGAGTGGCTTGGTGAGCTAGAGTTCAGTGGCGCATCGAAGTGCTGGCCGTCGGTTGATGCGCCATCACCCGGGCGTGAGGGCGACCTCAAACGAGGGCGACGGTCGTCGGTGGATCGGCACCGAGGTGTTTGCGATAGCCCTGTGGTACTTTTAGAGCTCGTGCGCGATGGCCGGCAACTTGCAAGGATCAATACCATCAAGACACATACCAGCGCATACAGGCAGCGATATAGGCCTGGGTGGGAAGAGGTATGTCTAGTGCAGGGCTTTGAGTTCGAGTCACTACTCCTGCCTCTTTCGTACGGGTTATAGAGCGCCGTCTAGACTCAACGGCCGCTTTTACTCGCTGTGGGTGTCGATAGATTGACTGACAGCGAACTATGATGTGCCATGAAGACAATGTGAAAGATGTGCAACGATCGAAGGGCTCATCGGCACCGAGGTACTGGCGAAGCTGTGGCACCGGAGAGGTTGTGGGTAGATGCACAATGAGATCGACGCGGAAAAGGATATAGCAGAGAGCTGCAAGGGACTTCAAAAACACCGGTATGAACTTGATTGCGCGGATGTACTCTGCTCGATGGTATATGGCTTTTTCAAACCCATGGCGACCTCCGCTGCTTGAGTCAGGGACATGTCTAGATGGTCCACTGGGCTCCGGTCAATGTGAGTACAATGCCTGTAGGATCCGACCAGAGACGACGTGCGAGGGCTCAGCTCAGGCGATGGCAAAACAAAGTTTGCGCTTCGCAGGCCACAGTCCTCGAGGTACTCACGCTCCGCGGGCCACAGGCCCACAAATGCAGCTTCTATACTCAACGTTCACAGCGGAGCTCGAAACGCCACTAGCAATCACGAACATCGCTCATGCTTTGCCTTCTCGAGCTCTCTTCTTTCCTCGTACGCTCGCCGCCGGCTAGATCCTCTCCATGACAGCTCCAAAGATCGACTTGAGATCGATGCCCCTCCGCGTGTGGACGCACAATCAGTGGCACGCCCACACAAACGCGGTGCCGCGGGTGCGGTATGCGAGGAAGGTAATCACTCGACTAGACCGGGTAGGGACAACTCCAGATTGCCGTTCTGCAGAAGCGGATCTCTATAAGCCATGGGTGTATTCGGTGGGGCGTGTGGCTCTCCGGGCGCTTGAACGTACAAGTAGAAGAGCCTGCGCGAAGAGGTCAGATAGCGACTTGCCTCGAGGCCACCCTTGCACAACAGACGTAAAGCGCACACAATCTGCCCATATGTCGCCCACGACGACTGATATAACGCGATACAGTCGGAGTTTGTATTGGATGGCAGACCAACAGCTCAACTCTGATACCCCAGGTTTCTGACGTGAAAGGTAGCGAGCGCATTGGCGTCTAAGGTTTGAATGCTAAGCTCGCTGTATGTCGTCGGCCACGCACATCCCACGCAGCGGACACGTCTCGGGCACGAGCGGCGCACGCAGTTGATTCACGAGGAAGAGTAGCATAGATCGCCGTGGCCCGACCGTCAAAGTTAGAGGCAAACGCTAAATAAATCGCCGGCCAGTCAGGATATTGAGCGCGAGAATTTGGCTATTCAGGGACCTCCACGCTACTGTGCGGAAAGCATTGTGGCCCAGGCTACACCTTACAGGGCGCTCGCGAAGATTGTCAGGGTTTATAGTTGTCCTGCGTATTGCGACCGTCGCTGGTACCGCGCGGTCCGCTGAGTCCGCCTAAGCGCGCCGGTTGAACCCGACGTTTTGCCTGTGCGCAGCCAATAGAGCGGTGTGGACTATTTGATATTGTGGCGGGCCGCAAGCGTCGGAATAGGGCCACACATGAACGACAAAGCAACAGATCATACGTGTTGAAGAACGCAGTAAGGGGCAGGACGACGATGATATGAGCGCCTTCGGAAGCCCGAGTCGACCGCGACTGACAGAGGCGAGAACTTGGAGCGGGGCAGAGCTGACGTCTGAGATCGAGCAGTGCGAAGACGCGACAGGATCAGCGCACTACGTCGGGGGAGTCGGGGGAGATGAGCGGCCGCGATATCATCGCGCGTCATCACAACAACAAGCTCGGGCCTGCAGGGCACATCGCGCTCGTCTTTGTCCAACTACTCCGCTCGGGCGGTCTGGACTGTTGTCGCTTAGCACGGAGACCGCGTAGCCGCGCTCGTACGGTGGATCGTCGTGATGGTCATGCAGGAACCGGGGTGCGCGGCGTCTCCCCGCCATATCATGGGCGGCAGGTCGACAGCCTGAGTACACCGCGGCGGTGCGGGAGAGATAGGAGGCCCGGCACGAAAACTCTACTCGACCATCTGCCTGCTCTGATGCACGAGTCGGTCTGAGATGCGAAGGCGCAACAACGCGCACACGGCGGCGTACGTACACCCGTCCATGCCGTGCGAGCGCACGCGGGTACTGGTCCAGGACATGTCAAGACGCGCTCTGTGTAGAAAACATGAGCGAGATCCGCGCATCCCGAAGTAGTATTCCCTTCTCGCGTCACAATGAGTTCGTTCCGGCGCGTAGAAAACCGATGGCTGTTCAAGAAGTTCGGCGAGGGAGAAACCCCAGGATAGAAGGCAGGACGCACGGAGAAGCGTCGGACGGTGTGAACCGTAAGAAGTCAGCAGGAGATGGAGATGGCCGAAGTCCAGTCGGGCGCTCCGCGTGCCACAAGGGGTTGAGATTGGCGCGCGTCGCAAGCGAGATCTCCAGGTCGCCTTGCCGATTGACAGCCGAAAGCTTCATCTTCGGGGTGCTCCAGTGGCGCGGGGCAGCAGACTGCAACAGTGCGATGAGGACAGCGACAAACATACTATATTCCAACAAGTAAAGCAGATTCAGCGACGTGGATAATACGCGAGAGTACCAGCACAAAGCCCGGGGAGACGTACGGCGATGCGACGCGAGGGGGAGTAATGTAGAGTGGGCGACGCAAAGGTGGAGAATACGGAGATGATGTAGCAGTAGGAGAGCGTGTAGAAGTACGGTAGCGCGGGGAGTGCTGGTAGCAGAACATAGACACAAGATTGCAAGACAAGATAACGATGCGAGGCAGACAACATACAGACCAGGATGAAAGGATGCGGCGACAGGCGCTTCTAGGGAATGATGTGCGGAGGGGTAATCGAGAGCAGGCGAGGTACCAAAGGAGCTGCAAAGTCCCGGGTAACGAATGCGAGGGTCTATAGTTTTGTTTTGCATTTGTTTGGCCGGAAGTTTGATTCATTTTGTGCGAACCTGCGGAAGGGGGTGAGCGAGGGTGTGGCGAGTGGGTAGCAGTTCAACATACGGGTGCTCGCATCATGAGACCACCGCCATTGGCGGATTGTGGGGGTGGGTAATGCATGGGTGCGCCAGAGCCGTTGTGTGATAGGGCTTTGCGGAGCTGGAGAAAATGTCTCAGACAAACGCGTCGCGTCGCGTCGAGCATGCAACGTACCTTGGCTTCGCTCGCGCCAGCATGTTGACCAGCTAGTGGCGAGGTGTACATGCTCACGTTCGCTATATGGCCCGCTTGTGGCAACGAGGAGAGTTGCGAGGAGAGGCTGGGCAGCGAGACGAGGTGCGATGGTGGTTGGCCAGACATGTCTACTGTTCAAGAGTTGGTGGCGCGAAAGAGATGTTAGGGCGCTAGTGTTGCGAGCGGCAAAGGGCGCTGCGGCAGAGTAGAGTAGGGTGCGAAGGCCTGGTTGAAAGGTGAGACATCCAGATCTGCGCTTATATATGGTATGCGACGCGGGTGTGAAGCGGTCTGGACCGCGTTGCACATGCAGATCAAGTTCGGCCAATTGGCTTTCCTGAAGCCGCCCGGCCGTGGGCAACAACTCGCAGTGCAACCCAACTTCCGATTTAGGGTCGTCTTTTGATGGAAGATAAGCTGCACTTCCTGCTTGTGCCGTCTTCCTTTCGCCCTTTCCATCAACATGGTTCTCGTCGGTGTCCGCGGTTCACTCGACGGCAATGGTGCTTCGACCTTTCCGGTCGGCTTCCTGGAAACTCAAGCCTGTCTTCTGCGTATAGCAGGGGTTCCGACCGACTCGCCTCGTTCAAGCTTTCCCAGACCTCTATCAAAAGGCAGCCGCCACCACGCGCTGCGACTCTTGACGTACACCGAATGCCCCTATATCCATTACGCTGATGCTCCCTCCTCCCTTTGTCGCCGGGGCTGATCCCCATGCACCCTAGCGCCAATTGGTCGCTTTGCTTCAAGCTCTGCAGTGCACCCGCTGGGTCATCTCCGGACGCCACTCTCAAAACTTCCAAGCAAATTAACTTCACTGAAGGTGCCATGTATGCGCCCATCGCGTCGTAGTTCTATCTTCCCTTCACCTATCCATCTGTGTCGTTTCCAAGCACCCATGGCTTCATACTGTTCCCGGCGGCGTTCATCGTTTCGCATCGCCAGGTCTGGCATATATTGCCCTGAGTATCTGACAGCTGTTGAGAGCGCTCGGCCCACAGCCAACATGGGCCACATCCACCCGCCGGTCCACCTCCCACACACTGATACGCCTGATATACACCATCCGGCATCACATCGCGACAATACAATACACCCACAAGTGTCCGACCACGTCGTGCTGACTGTACCTAACGACCCGCGTATGGTCCCACCCGCCGGACATCTTCTCCGGGGCCTGCCGCGCCGCCCGCTTCTCTCAAGTCGGCAAAGACATGAACACGAAGGTATTCGCGCGCGTTCCGGTTTGAATCCTACGTTCACCGACGTGCGCTTGTGGCTGACAGTACGATACGTGGTATCCGGCCCTCTATCCGCCTCATACATGAGCGACAGCGCGCCATCATCTCCGCCGGCCGCGTGAATCTCCCTCACAATATTTCGTGATCTCCCAGTGATATAGCCTGTCCCCGAGCTAGCTAAAAGATATTAGATGGATCTGGCACACAGCTCATCGTCATTTGTCTGTAGAGCAGCGTCTCACAGATGTCCGCCTGACTGAGTTTCCCGCCGCAGCACTTTCATACGTACCGCACGCACCTGTCATGCGTGAGCTTGTCAATCTGAATATGACTGTTGAACTCCCTCTACGCTCCACAACGCCGGAATACATGTATACCGCCAGATCCTCACCAAGTCCGCGCTCGCCGTGAGTGTAGGGTGAAACATTGAGCCAATGTTCATCAAGTACCGCGAAGGATAGACCCGCTGTGAAGCGCACATACCAAACATGCGACGTTTTAGCTCGCCCACTTCTCTCTGGAGCCCCTATTCAAACTTTCCATCCAACTTTACCATCAAAAGAACCGCCGGCCTATACCCAATTTCGCATGACCACCAATGTCGACGTCTTGCCGCCCTGCCCTTCTCGGCGCGCGCATCGGCCCCGACCAGATCTTGTTGACGCAGTGTGACGCAGCCTATTCGAATTACGCCCATGCGTCAGCGACACGGTAAAAACTGTGTCGAGAAGCAAAAGGAAAATGCTCTACCGAACTCATTGCGCCCACACAAGACTATCCTGCATTCCCTGCAAGAGCGCGCGCCTCGAGTCGGCCTGGTCGGTCTCGAATCTCCTCGACTTTACGCCGAGACGTACAATCGGTTACAGCTCCCGCATCTGCAACAAAGCGAGTTCTGCTCTGTGGTTCGTTGACAGTCTGCAGTTCGAGGCTGAGGGTCCCACGAACGATTCGCCCTGGGTAGCGCTCGATGAATAGGTGCCGCACCACTGCCGTAGAGCACTTTTACACGTTGCAGCACATAATCTCGCGCGATACGGTCCTTCGCGACGGCCGACGACGCTGCGGCGGCCATACGTACAGGGTCTCTTACAATCGCGTATTGCTCTCAAATTCCCAGAACACGCTTTGAAACCGTGCGCAAGGCAAGGCTTTGAGCGATAGGCGGAAGAATGAACCGCGGACGACCCAATCCAACCTCTCCGCACCGAGCCATATGTGGCAGGCAACATTGAACACTTCAAGAACCCTCGGCCAACTTCACCGTTGGCCGCGAAGAGATAGAGATAAGGAACATCGGGATCTGAACATTCAGACATATGAGGCGCGTTCGGTGCGGCGGGCCCTGCCGAGGTTATTACATTGGTGCTTCGCCGCCGCGGTGGCACATTCTGTGCATCGATACAGTCCCAGGCCGACGACGATGCCTTCTCACCGGTGTCTATCTGTACGTCTTACGACCTGTGGCCCAACGGAACGTGGCCTGGGTATGCCGTAGGTCATAGGCTAATAGACTCCCGCCAGGATGTTACTTTGCCCGCTAGCTATGCGTGAGTGTGGCCCCCGCCCGCGGAGGCGAAGAGCAATAGCAGAGGCCAATGTACCAATGTACATCGATCGTATCCGACATACGCCAATCCCGCTGTTTCGCCGTATGTCGTGGAAGACTGATATATCCTGTTGAAGCATCCCCTTCGAGACTGCGCAACGATGCAGACTCAAACGGAACCGCACGCCCGCTCGTCCGGGCTGCGGAACACGACCGCCGTATGCACACTTTACAGCAGTCGTCATTCCCAAAGCGCTTTGCGATTTCGCCGAGCGCGAACAGATGGCGGTATAACCCGTGGGCACGGTCCACGACCACACGCCCTGAGCCTGAGAAGAAAGCGCTCGGACCGCGTCCAAATCGCATCTCCTCTTGTGCTCCCGCACACACCGGAGCAGATCGACGGGCGAGTCAGAGATGCTACTGACCTGTACAGCATGTCCACGGAAGGCCGACGGGTGATTACTTGTACGCGCTACGAGCTTCTTCAGGCGCCCACTTCAATACCGCCCGCCGAGAGATGGACCTGCAGAATCAGTCGAAGCACACGAATAGACACCCGGGAGAATGCCAAGTGCAGACGCAAGTTGGACTTTACTGCACAGTCAGCCAAGATGGTAAAATGGCGTTACAGGCCTTTCATCCTGAAGGGCGATATGACCTGTAACATTCATAGTTAGGTATGAGAGCTTCGCGCCCATTTCGCGACGGGTCCGATAGCCCTTCAGAGTCAACAGTCGTCGTTGTAAGATGAGCTCCACAGACACCGCCTTTCAGGACGGATGCGTACATGGATTCATCTATCTGCTTTAGCCTGCGCGCGAAGAAACGCGCACATGAAGCGATGCTGCCTCGATGAAGGGGGATCGCAGGATAATCGATGGTCAACCATCCGATTCGAGTATCGCTCGATGGTCTGATGACCAGAAAGTTCAAGCCTCTTGAGTGCAGCGTCTGCTTATCACCCAGGCTGCGCACGCATGCCTCGGAACATGAACAAAGGCCGAGAGCACTGAGACGGTCAAGTGCAGGAGAAGATGTACTCGTGGGCGGCGGATGCGCGGCCAGTGCGGGTGCGAGCGTCGAGTTTTAGCCCCGGAGAAATGGGTGCTGCAGGGTTTAGTCGCCAGAAACAAACATATGAGCTTGTTGGCATCTTGCACCAATCGTACGGGCCGCGAAAGAGCAAAAATAACCTGTCCCGCTGTGGCGAGGCGGCGTGCTGCGGCGAGGTCGACATGAACATTCGACACGGTCACGTGGGTTGATTGAAGACTATGGGAAGATGATCGCGGCGGCTGGCAGATGGATCTTGCAGTAGATATGCACGTCAGAGGCCAGACGTCAGTGCCTGGAAACTTCTTCTATTGCCTATAAGTCATAGGTCCGGCATTTTGCGTACAGGCGCACACATAAAGCGCCCACGAGTGCGTAATAAGCGCCCACAGAACAACAACGCCGGGCATGGCCAGTCTACTCGACGGCCTGCACGCCGTCATACGAGGGCAGGCGTTTGCATGCCTCTGCCCAATCAATCGTGCCCTCCACGAGTTGTACAACGAGGCTGACGACCTCGTCAATCTCGCCAATAAGTTGGCCCGTCGTGTCACGCTCGCTGTACACGGACACGCGCCAGATCAGCACATGCTCACCTCTAAAACATAATCAGGGCTCACCGGAGCGTCATGGTGCCCTTCGATACGGCTGTGGGCGCGGACATGGGCGTCATGACGGCATGACATGAGAGGCACGGAGATGGAAGGGGTGCGGGGGGCGAGGGCAATGCGGGGAAACAAGCGGTTAGCTCTTCTCTTCTAGCCAGGTCGAGAGCGCGAGGGTAGGGTGAGATCATAGGAAAGGAGACGTACAGGCAAAGTCGAGTGTAACCCCGAATGGCGTGCCGAGCTCGTCGTTGCGTGCGTACCGCTTCCCGATACTAGTGTTGCTGTCGTCCACGCGGGCAGAGACACCGGCTTTACGGAACTTTGCCGCTGTTCCCGATTGTCAAGAGGCCATTAGCGTCGTTCGATCTTTGGGGCGTCATGAATACGTTTGGGGCTGACTCACAGACTTCGCGGACCAGCGGCATGAACTCCTCCTTAGCGCTCAATGGCACGATGAGCACCTTGGTCGGTGCGACTACCGGCGGAAGCGAGAGAACCTGGAACCAAGTATCAACGTCAAGGGTTCGTAGGATGATCACGAGAACATACACCGCGCTCGATGTCCTGCTCACGAGCCCAGAAACTGTGTTCAAGGAGGGCGTATAGGATGCGGCCGAGACCGAACGAGGGCTCAATGACGTTCGGCGTGTATTCGCGTACTAAAGAAGGTCATGAGACCAACAAGGATAGGCGCGCGATACGGCGAACGAGGTGGGTGTATGGCGGTAAACGGCATTGTAGTGTTTGATGAAATGCCAGATATGACAGGGAAGTGGCCAGCCAAGAAGAAGAGATGCGCGCACGTAGATGTATGACAATTAGGGCATGGACAGGTATGAAGCGACAATGAAGAAGGCGCACCAGATTGCTTGAACGTCTTCTTCTCAATCGTGAGCATCTCCCGGTCAAGAGTGAGCACGCGACCGTCCGGAGTCGTGAGTGCGACAGAACTATTACGCATGATCGTCAGCGATCATGTACCAATGCGGGGTAAGCGTGGATGAGCTGTGGTATGAATGACGAGAGTATTCCGGGGAAGAAAGCCGGTATTCAATTGCGTCTAGATCGCCAAGGCCAATCTCCGTTACACGCCCATGATGCAAGAGAAGCAAGCGTGTAAACGACGCCGGCGCTCGTAGAGACGGCGAAACGCACGAAGGCGTAAAAGCGCAGGCCGGCATGACGAATAGGGACAGAGATGATCATGGCCGCTCGAGCCCAGAACAGTACAAGCAGCTCCCTTGAGGTAACCGAAGGAAGATACACACGGAGGCGAGTACCGATTGAGACTGGAGATAGGACAACGTACCCTTGTGCCAACTCCCCCTGAAGCTTCTCGAGCTGCGTCTCCTCGCAATCATCGAGCACCTTTTGCAGCACCCCGATATCCTTCCCGAAAGCCTTGCCCATCTTCTTCTTGTTGAGCTCAGCTACAATCTTCTCCGTGACGATTGGGTCCTTCAGCGCCTCGCGCACGACCAACCCCGCACCCGTCTTCTTCGCGTGTACCGTCAGATCATATGCGGCACGGTCTGCACAGCCAACGCATTCCGTCCAACCGTAGCTGTTCTGGATTTCCGCATCCCAACAGTCCGTTGCGTAATGGGCCATCTCGTTCGCCATGTGTTGGCGGAATCGCAGGCGCTTCTCGTCGATACCGATCTTGATTAGGAAAGCGTAGATACGCGCCACAAAGTAGCCAAGCGTTTCGTTCGCAATAACGCCCTGAGAAACTGCATCGCCGATGCTCATCTTTCGCACAGTCGTGTGGCCGCCACTCTGTGTATCGCGGTCCAGAAGGCCAACAACGACGTCGCGTACTTCGCCAAATCGTGGGTGGGTCTTGTCTGCGGGATCGACATAGTGCTCGATCTCGGCCATCGTGAATTCGCGCACGCGAAGCAGGCCCGCACGTGGACTGATCTCATTGCGGAATGAACGACCGATCTGGGCGCTCGCAAACGGAAGGCGGCCGTTGTTGAAGTCGAGCAGGCGAGAGAAGTTCAGGAAGTGGCCCTGTGCGGTCTCCGGACGCAGGAAGCCTGGATGTTGGCCGGTCGGGCCGATCGAGGATGCGAACATGAGATTGAACTGCACAGGTTCCGTGACAACGTTGCCAGTATCCGGGTTGCGAATGTCGTACTTCTTGCAGAGTTCGCCGAGTTCTGGGCCAGAGAAGTTGTCAATCTAGGAAGATGTAATCAGATGGGGTAAGATCCTGTGGCCAAGTGGAAACTTGCCTGAGCAAGGATCTTCTCGTACTCTGCAGCCACCTCATCCGCGAGCTGCACTGCTACGGCCTTGACATCCTTCTTCTTCTTCTTTTTCGGGTCCTCCTTGACTGGATTTGCCGCAAGCCCTCGTGCCTCCTTATCACCAGCCAAACGCGCCTCCAATACACCCTCAACTAGATGGTCCGCTCGCAAGACATCGCCAGTCTTCTCATCCTTCACCATCCAGTCTGCGAAGCGCGCGACGTGACCTGACGTCTCGAAGACAGGCGCGGGAGTCATGATCGTGCTGTCAATCTCGAGCATACTCTCCTCCACGATGAAGTGCCGACGCCATTCCGCAATGATGTTCGCCTGGAGAGACGAACCGGGCGGGCCGTAATCATATAAACCAGCGACACCTATACAACGTACGAACATGAGCATCGGACTTAGACGGATGTATATTGATAGCATGTCAAGCAAAGACAATGCGTCTGACATCATGATCTCTACAAGGAGATGAACCTACCGCCGTAGATCTCGAAGGCGGGTGCGTAGAAAAACCTGCGGTTCATGACGCTCTCGAAACGCGTCTTATCGAACGCATGTGCGTCCTTGTTCACGGGAAGGTTTGCCATCTCTTCCGGAGTACGTGTGCTCAGTGATCTGCGGGCAGTCGAGACGGGAGGGAGAGATCGTAGAGGGCGAAGGAGAAAGAGATGACGGCGGAGCATCCAATCGGTTTCTAGATCGAGTCAGGCCACGTGAGAATGCAGACAGACGCGTCGCGTTGAAGACGCGCTCGGGTTTGGCCACGTAGCGCGTCCTACGGAGGATTTTGCCGAGAAAGACGCGTCGTATGTGGGACAGGAGCGTAACAGACACCGAAGACGACGTCTTTGGTAGAGAGGGGGGTAGCTGAGTGTGTGTGTCGTGGTGAACGCTGCCAACGACGCGTCGGGAGCGTCGACGCGCTCTTCGTCCCCCACGTGCTGGTCTCACGCAACTCCGTCTCAACCTCCATGTGCGAGATGCCCCAATCCCTTTATTCCGACATCATACTACGCACGAAGACTAGGAAATGACACATCTCATCATGAATTCGTCTATCGTAACCCCTTGCAGCAGCCGCACAAGTTTACCGACCGGCCACGCCCGACTCATTTGACATGCGACGTTTGTCACTCTTGCTCGGCGTATAATGTTCAGCAAGCGTGATTCATTCGAAGACTAGGTAAGGCTATAAGGAAGCTAGCTTTTAGCGCCGTTGTCATACGGCTACTCATTGCTTGAAACTACTGGGTTTAAGCTGGCCGATCTACGCGCGCAACTACTCATGCACATGTCCTCCTGCTCTCTGCAGAACAAGACTACGAAAGCTCGCGTCTGTACATGGCAAGTCTCGACGTCATTGTGAGAGGCAGAGGCGTCATGGCTGCGAGCCTCGAGGTGTGGCACAATCCACCGGCCGGCCCGAAATCACCGAGTGTCCAACTTCTTTGTGTTCAACCACTCAAGCTATGCGGCTGCATCTCTACATTGTCTTCGCTTCCCCATTATGGATACTGTGGTTATGTCTGGCGGCGCCGATGACGTTTGTCTGGCAAAGAATGAACTACTCGGGTCCAGTGAAGTGTGGACTTTTGCGGGCGCTCGTCCATCTCATTGTTCTCAACCACGCCCGACAATGGACATCTGGCTTTGTGGATATCCCTTCGACCGCGCATTACTTGTGGAACTGGACTTTCAAGTTGTGGATTGTGGTTCGTTACTGCTCTGGGAAGTATAACTGCGAGTCAAATGATGGCCTTGTCTGCACTATCCACATTCGCCTCGAACAACTCCAGCCTTCCCGCCTTATCCGCCTTCTCTTAACCTTTCTCTGTTCTCTTGTACATTCTTGCAACCGACGCCAAGGCCATCCGAACCATGGGCAAGGAGACGCGCCACCCCTCTACTCCGCTCAAGGAGCCATACCCGTCCCCGCCTGGGGGCACGCTCAGCCCACCACCGGCGACTCCTTCCGCGCCACAGCAGCAGTATCGTCACCCGTCTCACCCGCAGCCGTACACGGGTGACCTGCCTTCGCCTGCTCATTCGTCTGGAACGTCTCACTCTTCTCGGTCTTCTCCGCCACGGGCGTCCGGTTCAACTCCCGGCGGACAATCAACTCAGGGTTCCGCCACTACTGGCTCGCCTGGCTCGACGGGTGTCCTCGACCCGAGGCTATTCACGCTCCTCGAACATGGCCTCGTCGCGCACACTTTCGGCAGCAAGCTCGCGAACGCATTCTTCCGCGAGGTCTTCGCCAAATCCATCGAGCGCAGGACATTCGTCACGGAGCCCCACCCCGACGCTACGGCTGAATACCGACACATTGACCGCGCGTTCACTCGGAGGCAGGTGACGTGGAAGCTCGACGAATACGCGCTCGACATCGCGGTGGTCGATTACGCGCTCGACGAGCGGTGCGGCAGGGTTATCAGGTACAACTCTGCCGGCGCCGACTGGAAGCCTCCGCGCAACTTCTCCAAGGAAGCAAACAAGCCGGGTTTGCATTGGTTCCAGAGCAGGGTGGGCGGAGCGGGTATCGCGCTGGGGTTGTGCGAGAACTCGGAGCTCGCCTACCATTATTTGCGCGTGCCGCAGGGGCAGAGGGTCAAGTGCGTCCTCTCCAACTACCGGTCGTGCAACCTGCGCATCAAGGTATGTTGTATTCGCGCTTCGCATACATGAGTCTCGTGAGCTAACACTCTTTCTAATAGTGGAGGGGTTACCCGGACAAGACTTTCGAGATTCCAGCCGCGAACATGCGCTTCGGGCGCGAGATGTTCCTGCACGAGCTTGCGGCAGTCGTCGGCAACCAGGTCCTACGCTACTTCGAGCACGTCGCGACCGACGTCCCTGGCCTCGAACCGGTGAACGACGTCATTGTTCTCGGGCTCATCCACCTCGACGAGAATGAGTGGACGGTCATGCTCCAGCATTGCCCGCCCGAGCTGCGCAGGAAGCCGCTGCCGGGGTGGCCATGGCAGGGCCCAGGCGCACCGGAGTGGGCGATGCCGCCGCCGGCGTGGGCGGCTCAGATGCAGCAGCAGGCGGCGAACGCGGACACGGCTTCGATCGCGTCGGGCTCGTCGGGCCGCTCGGGATTGTCTGCGACGACCACGCTCGCGGGTCCGGCTCAGGATGGCAGGAAGCGCATGTATGCGGGCTCGGTTGCGGGTTCGGTTGGAGGCGCGAGCCCGGGATACGCACCTTCGTACTCAAGCGCAAGCCCGCATTCGCAGTACTCGGGGGAACGCGACGACGCTTCGACGATTGCGGGGAAGTACAACTACTCCACGCAGTGAAGGAATGGGATCAACATTGAACTTGGATACATGACACGACACGGACTTCACTTGTAGCATTACAACCCACCAATACCCCGGCTCGCTTTTCTACTTGTATTACATTCCCGGCTCGCAAACATATTCGTACACCACAGACTAGTATATACACTGTATCCACAAATGTATCATCATGCGCAGAGCGCACTGTTCAGATCCTTAGAAGTTTGATGCGATGCCAATGTGTACAAGGAGGACATTATGACAGAGAGGTATCATATAGTAGTGCTTTGTCGGACGGATCGCGATGCACGAGCACATCCCCCTTAGCCGTGCAGCTCGAGCCCTCGCTATTGCGGTGGCGAAGCGCGGCGGCGAAGATATGAAAGTACTTTGTTATTCAGTAGCACTCAAATAAGGAGGTAGCCAGCTACCAGAATGGCACCATTGTGCTCTCTGCTAGCCTCGCGTACGCATGTCGTCTGACCCAAGTCCAGCACCTATGTTACTTCTCAGATGTCAGGTAACAAGCAAAACTCAAGCGCTCAAGAGAGGGTCGCGACTGATGCCATTCGACAGCCAGCGCGATTGCCGACCGAACAGGCTGTGCAAACTATAAAACTGAAGCCTTGAACCGCTCGATTGAACATGAAGAAGTACACGGTATTCACAAGGCCAATGAGGGTCGGCTTCTCATACCATCCGGGTGAGAATTGGGGTCTTCTCCGTTTCTTTCGGCGCAGGTGCGCGTCGCTGAATGATTGCCCGCATCTCACAGACTTTCTCTTCGATTTCTAGCAGCGACGCGGCGCGCACGTCAGTACGTCGCACTTCTCGAGATGAGGGGCAATCTCACCTTCTCTATTGTTTCGGTATATCTTAACCCAAGTAACAGCGGCCCTCCTCTTATGCTACATACCATCATTGACGTCAGACACATAGCAATCGTCGTTGAACTTGAAGACGTACGTCTTTTGACTTGCGAAACTTCGCCCACGACGACGGATATGTCATGTCGGAGGTGAGCTTCTCGCCGACAATGTACATCGCCATGTCGAGCTTCTCGTCTTTCGTCGGCTTCCCAGCACGCCTGATCAATGGCCTGACCGTACGGACAGCATGCGCAGGTAAGACGGGGGCGCCGGCAGTCGTCGCCATGACTTGCGCGAGCGGGGTATCGTCGTCGTCGTCTTCCTGATGATCAGGATTTGCGAGTGCATCTTCGTCGTCCGTGTCCATCAAGTCGATGGCGCGAGCTGGAGATGTACCGGCCAATTCTGTTGAGTTCGCATCCGCCTTGACCTCTGCTGCACTTAGAACCGGTTCTTCATGCTCGATATTCATATTCTCGAGCTTCGGCACAATGCCATCTTGAACGGCGGTAGCGCTCTCGACGAGAGATAGCTCTAGAAAACCATCCTTGAAGCCAAGGAAGCGCATGAGTTCGCCTTCTTGCGGGACGTAACCCGTATACGTCTGTGCGCGGAACACATATGCCGGTCTGAGAACTGTGCAGAGAGAGGATGGATGTGTCAGAGGTATTGTGGCACGGGAGGAGGCAGGGATGGACTGACGGTGAGACATCACGATATAGCCAGGAGAGGTCGAGTGCAGATATCGCAAGACGTGGGTTGCTGGTTGCTGCTGAGGAAGAGCCAGAACCCTAGCCTTTTATGTGTACCGCGAAACATCTCTAGTCAAAGGACTTGTTACACGGGAAGCGGGTGTCCGGCGTGTATAGGTGATGTGCGCTATCGTCGCGTGCGCAATGGTTGAACGATCTGCTGCATGGTTGATGGTAAGAAGCATTCATCTGAAGGGGTGCAAGGATTCAGAGCGACCGAATTCCACGCGAGCGGGCGACGTCCATCACTTCACACCGCGGCCGAAAGCCGCCCGGGCGCCCGAATGAGCCTCCGGTCACTCGGCCGTAGCCCGGCCGCTGACGCTGAAAGAACCCGGCTGGCTTGGGCGTCAACGCGTCAACGCACAACGCGTCAACATGACAACCTCAGCCCGGACGCACGGACCCGAGCCGGCCATAGCGCAGTGTCTGTATCAAGTGTACATCTGGGCTTGTTACTTAGACCCGCGGTACCCGCGATCCGGACAACTCATCCGACCCGCATACAGCGCGGAAGTTGCCTAGAAGTTGACTTGGCAGGATCGGGGACGGCGAGAACTGTACAATCTGCGCAGCCACGTCGCCGCTGTACGAGGTTGCCCTCCGCGCGTGGCGTCTTATCCTACCAGCCACCGCTGCGGAGGAAGGCTCGATATTCCAACAGTGTACATGTCCGATCCCTCGACCTCAGCCGGTACACTGGCCATCCGATGAATCCCCGTGATCGTGGAAACGGCCGACGCCCAGTAAGACGTTATCACTCCGAAATATGTTACAATTCAGCCTTTCCAGCAAAGAGAAAGAGTCATCAATTGCGAGAGATAACATCGGTTTACGTATACAGACATCACGGGAAGTAATCCTAGAACAGTAAAAGCCTCTTCACGCCGGCTACACGTCGCGCATCAATGCAGGAAGGTGTGCCCTACTCCGCTTCTACGCTCTCATCCGTGCTTGCCTCTACGCCAGGTTTAGCACCCCGCGCTAGAGACTCAAGAAGGCGCCACTTCCGAACGAGATTGTCGATCTCTGTCCCACAAGTTCGTCAAGTCATGACCTTTCGCGCGCGTCGACGTTCACTCACCCGTCTTGAAGTTCTTGTATATGCGTGCCCAGCCGTTCTTGTTCCTGTGTTCATACTGTTTGTCACAGGAAGATCAGATTTCGCGATACATCGAGAAGTGAGTTGACGTACATCCTTCATCTGCGCAAAAGACAGCCATGACCTCGGCTGGTTCATATCTTGCTCCTTGTTCTTCGTCGCGAAGAAGACGTAGACGGCCATGTCGAACCTCTCTTCTTCAGTCGATTTTCTTGCGCGAGATTTGGGAGAAAGAGCTTTGATGGGTTGGATGCCTTGTTGCGAAGCGTTGTTGGCAATGACTCGGGCCAGCGAGATGTCTTCGTCACTGTCGTCTTCATATTGGCTGACGTACTGGGCGAGACCTCCGACGACTGCCGTCTGCTGAGCTTGCTGCTGTAGTGTACGGTCAGCAGCCGCAAGTCAAGTCTGCACGCATACTCGTACCTCGTCAGCAGTGAAATGAACGTTTGCATTCGATGATACTCGACCTCGCAAGGCAGAACCGGAAACCTGGAGACGGCGGGAAACCGAACCATAGTGACGCGGCATGTTGTGTGCGGGTTCTTTGCCTTTCACACAGCAATCAGTTAAGTGAATAGTAGAAGAGGTCTGTCTGAACGCACTGAGACGAAAGGCCGACCGTCAGAAGTGGGAGGAGTCGATATGCCGACTGAGATCTATAACGTGCGACTTTTATGAGTCTTCGTGAGCGATACGGCTACTGAGGCAAGCGTATTGACGAGCGGGACCCTTGTGATGGATGATGTCAGTCCTACCCTTGTGCTCTTGTGCTGAGTGCGCAAATCATAGCGCACAACGAGGCGGATGACAAGGGTGCGGGGGACAAGGGAATAGAACAAGGGTCGGCACGATACCATCAACTAATCACGAGCGATAGAGCCAAAATAACCAGTCAGGGACCATGCATGCCCTCGTCGCTGCGCTAACATGTTCTCCAATCCGGCGCGCGAATAGAGGTTCGCCGAGGGCACCCGTCACGGGAAGGTGATTGGACTCCCATGGATGAAAACGAGAAGCCGTCCGGCAGGGAGAGTCAGCTATGTCTGCCTCAGAGGTTCATAGTATGGTATTGGTTCATGTTGGGCATGGTAAGAGAACAGGTGATGGTGGGCGGTCGGAAGATAAGGGAGTCTTGAGTAGTCTCGAACCTCCTGAGTGTGGGAAGATGGGTCGTCCAACGATTTCGACGTCCAACGCTTTCGACGTCTGACGCCCACGACGTCCCGCCTCTACGGCGTCTCGCGAAGCCCGTCTCTCGGCACCTATGACTTTCGAGACCCCTGAGATGCGCAGGTCTGCATATGCTTCGTCTCGGCCCAGCTGGCGTATATAATCCCCGCGCGCTGGACGGGTCTCATCCCCAGCTTCCTCCCCATCCTCCTCTCCCTGAGACCTGTACGCTCTTCTCACTCTTCACGACCCTTATCCTACTCATACTGAGCTAGGAATTGCTATGCAGCCTACGAACTACCCCGCTGATATGACACGCGCCGTCTACCACTCCGGCCCTTCGCCCACACCCGACACGACTTACCACTGCACCGCGGTACAGTGCGTCGCCGGCAAGACATTCTTTAACTTGCAGGCCCTCGATGGTATTCTCGCCACTGTCGAACATGCCTCTGGCTGCATGCTCGTGAAGGGCGGGGTGTACCGTTGTACACGTCGGTCTGGCACATACATCACGCTCAAAGCCGAGCACGATACCCCCAACGCGGCGCCGATGACATCTAAGCTCGACCAGGTTCTCGCGTTGTGCGCTGAGCTCGGTAAGAGGAACTTCCTTTCTACGCCCGTGCATGCATCTGACGCTTGATAGGGTATATTGAGGCCTACTCTGGCAACTAAATCATGTTCTACATTACCTGTGTGAGTGCGTATGAACTCTTCTGAACATCGTCCCTGCTGATGCCATTTCATGTAGCCTCACTCCCGTCCTCTAGTCATACATTGTTCTGCGTCGTTCTGCGTTGTAACAAATATCATGATGGATTATACCCATGAACAGATGGCTCAAGCGCGCTTGCATGTATTCGTGGACGATGGACTACTCTACAACCGCCTCGGAAGTACTACCATCAACCACACTCTCCACCGCTCTCGTCAAAGTCCAAGGCAGCCCTCGCGCTATCAAGCGCGTTCCTGGCCGTCCCACAAAGCGTTCACCATGTTCAGGACAGCTGATGGGGACGAAGTGCGTAAATCAACATCTTGTCTTGGGGTAGTAGTAAACACACTCACCAACTTTGTTCCTCTCGTATATGCCCTTCCATCCGGCAGCCTTCCTTCTCTCGTGCTGTTGTTGTCGGCATCAGCTTCGGAGATCCCTCACAGGAAAGACCAGGTTGACAGACGTACATCATCCCATGTGCGGAAGTCCTCCCAGAACTTTGGGCCCTCCCCGTCAGCCTTGAGGCGACCTTGGCTGAAGATGTACTTCGCCATGTCGGCTCTCTCTTCGGGCGTCGACTGCCCCAGCTTCGACTTGGAGGCGGACTTCAAATGCGACGAGACGCCAGTGCTAGCCTCGACCTTCGGCGCCAGCTCTGGCGCTGCCGATCGTCTGCCAGTTGGCTCTTCGTTCCCACCAGTCTGATCGTCTTCAAATTTAGGCGCATTCTCGTCCTGTACGACGGTACCACCCTCGACGCGCTCTAGCTCGAGATGGCCATTCTTAAAGCCCATGCAGCGCATGCTGTCGCCGTCTTGCGGGACATAGCCCGTATAAGTTTGTGCGCGGAAGGTGTACGCCGGATTGTTGACGGGCGCGTCCTCGATGCGCTCGAACTTGAGATGGCCACGCTCGAAACCCTTGAAGTGCAAGAGGTCGCCTGGTTGCGGGACGTAACCGGTATAGGTCTGCGCGCGGAAGATAGGGGCCGAGTTGATATCTGTGCAGGAAGATGGGCGTGTCAGAATCATATAGCGGCACATCACCGAGCTTTGACTCACGAGTAGGCATTGGAAGGAGTTATGCGACACTCGCCGAACGAGGATGTGGGATGCTGAGGGGAAGACCAGCAAACAAGCCCTTTATATGTTCAACATCAAAGATGAAGCAGCTCCGGAAAGACGAACAAGAAGCGCTTGTGCCTCGGCTGTAACGCGTACATACGCCCGCTGGCGCGACGACGTAGACGCGATGTACGCCTGACGCACGAGCGACGCAAGCCTTGTGTACCCCGGACGTCGGGCGGACGTACGGGCGATGTAGCCCCTACGTCCATCACTCTTGATCTTGCGCTTGCGCGGACGGCGGCCGCTCGCCGCTCGGGCTCGATCGTTGGTCGTCCAATGCAATTGCTGGATTCGGCTGGTCGCTGGCTTGCTATTGCTCGATACGTTCATAGCTTGACTGCCTTGTAAAGTCCTAAACGGGTAGTGCTCGCCGTCTAGCCCTTGTTCGTACGTGGCGTGGCTTGAGCAGCTACGTGCGGGAAGACACTTAAGCGCTTGAGCGAGCGTCAGAATCGCGGTCGTGATGGGTGGACAATAGAACGTCGTTCTATAGTTGGAAGGACTGAAAATACAGCCTACGGCCTTGTTGAGCGACTGCATTGAGTCGCGTATGCCATGAAGCACGGCGCGATCGTGCGGAATGTGTTTGGGGTCGTACCGGGTGCTTGTGCACCTCTAATGCGCACGATGTATGGAGAACCATCCGCGGAATAATGAAAGCTACGAATGGGATCAGCAAAGCCTCCTCCGCTGATACAACGCGTAACACTATTTCGCCGCCAACACTCGTTGACCATTATGCTCTCTCCCAAACTTTCGCGTTGCCCACATAGGCACAACGACATTCTCGCAGAATCCTGTATGCGAGCAAAAGCCATTTCAAAGCCACTTTTCACGGGAGAACGACTGGACTCTCGAATATACGTTTGAGCCGGCGTCGCGGTGATGGCGGGCGAAGTTGTTGAAAACGAGTTCAACGTTCAACTATGAGGCCGCGCTAAGACACTAGCTTTATTCTAGTGTGCGCAAGTACTGAGATGAACTGCATGACTGGTGATGGTGGCCAGAGAGCAGGTGCTCGAGAGCGATACTAGGACCCCTGAGTGTGCGAATGATTGACGGCATAATCCAACTCTCGCGACGCCCACTCGCGCGACCCATACCTTCCGTGACCCCCACCTCGCGTGAGGTAGAGCTCGCGCGACCCCCACCTCTCGAGACCGTTGCATCGCGTTGGATCGTATATCTCCTACCTCCGCCGTCCTTGATCCCATGAGCGCGCCTATAAAACCCCCGTCTGCTGGGCGGATGTCATTCCCAGTTTCCTCCCCTCCCTGAGACCTGTACGCTCTTCTGACTTTCCTTGACGAGTAGAGTGCTAACACCGAGCCATAAAGTCCTCATGCAGCCCACCAACTTCTCTGCTGCTTCGACGCATGCCATCCTGCACTCTGGGCCTTCACCGACGCCGGGTTCGACTTTCCGTTGTATCGGCGTACGGCGCGTCGCCGGCAAGACATTCTTCAACTTGCAAACAGCCAAAGGCGATCTCGTTGCTACCGTCGAGTTTATTGCTGGCTGCGTACCCGTCAAGGGTGGGACGTTCTATTGTACGCGTCGCTCGGGCACCTATATTGCTCTCAACGTCGAGCATGCCGCCCCGTTCGCCGCACAAGCGACGTCCAAGACGGATCAAGTTCTTGCGTTATGCTCCTCACTCGGTGAGAAGACATTGGACAATGCGATTATGCATGTATCTGACGTCTGTTAGGGTATCTGGATATCTAGTCCCGCGACGACAGGATCGTGTACATGATTTGTGTAAGTGCTCATAGGCCCTAGGGATTTGACTTGCACTGACACCGGTCTCTTGTGTAGGTCTATGTATCTGCACTAGCTCTACTTTTTGCGTAATAGCATGGTATTTCATGGACGCGCGGCACATATGACACCCAGATTTACCCAGAACCGACTTCGCGCGTGAACAAGCCAAGCGCTCTCATGCTTGGTTCGTCCAAGTGGCATTTCTTCAATGTTGCTGCGCAATCGTACCTGTCGGATGCCCATCAGAGCGGATCTTGGGCTACGCAGAGTGATGGTACTCGATAACAATGGCGAGTGGCGGCGCCAAACAACCACAAACATTGATGTGGTTGTGCTTTAGACTCGGCCTATATAGCTGCGTTCCGTGCACGGCGTTCTTGTCTCCTCCCTCCATCTCCCTCCCTTCTTCGTCTTGCTTCCCTTCTTCTCGTTGCTCTCGTGTACGGTGCGTCAGGTTGTGCGCTGATGAACGTGTTCTGCAGGTACGACGGCTCTTCGGACGCGGTGATCAACTGCGCCACCGAGGTACAGTCGACATCGCTGGCCCTCGCGCATCCGCGCGTGGCGCGGCACTCACTGGCATGGCTGCCTGGACGATGGATGCAACCCTTGCCGAGGAGTTATCTGGCTCTGAGGTAGTGAACTACGGTTCCGTTTCGGCGCCGTGAAAAGCGTCGGGATGCGGGCATCGGGCCTCGCCAGCCTCGGGCGAGCGAAAGCTCACTCGGTCGTTCCCCTCAAAGACGGTGTAAGGGGTGCTCATCACTCCGCACATCATCTGCGAGATGCGCTCGAGTAGCGCTAGCATCATCGTGACTTCGGTGTCTTGGTGCGTTATACTGCGCGCCTTCATCTTTCTTTGATACTGACAAGCTCCCAGCACCATTCTCATCAAGATCTCCGCTGGCCCTCGAACTGACGTGGGGAGGACCACCGGGCGCTCTGGAATTCCTTTGCGCTCGGCCCTCGCGCCACGGCGCGCAGCCCATGACAGCCGGTGGCTACGTGCTGTCCGGACGACGAGTGCTAACGCATGCTAAGGAGCCATCGGGCTCTGAGGTAGTGGGTTGCGGTCTCGTTTCGGCGCCCTGAGAAGCGTCGGGATGCGGGGTACTCGGGTCTCGCCAGCCTTGGATGGGTGAAAGCTCATCCGGTCGTCCTCCTCGACGGCGATGCGTGGGACATACGTCCTCGTCCCGCGTGTTGTCCGTCGGGATGTGCTCTAGAAGCGCTACGAACCTTGGTTTCATCGGTGCCTCGGTGCGTATTCACATATCCGCTATTACTCTCCATCCTGACGTGCATATGTAGCATCGTCAACAACGATATCCTCGCTGGCCCTCGAATTGACGTGGGGAGGATCACCGAGCGTTCTGGGATTCCTTTGCGTTCGGCCCTCGCGCTACGGCGCACAGCCCATGGCAGCAGGTGGCCACGCGCTGTCCGGGCGAAGAGTACTAACGCATGCTGAGGGGTCGACGGACCCTGAGGTAGAGGACTACGGTCCCGTTTCGGCGCCCTGAGAAGCGTCGGGATGCGGGGTAACTCGGGCTCTGATTGCCTCGGGTGGGTGCATGTTCACCGCTCACTCGGTCGTCCTCCTCGGCTACAAGGCGTGGGGCACACGTCACCGCCTCACGCTTTGTCGCCGAGATGCGCTCCAGAAGCGCTTGCACTCGTGTTTCGTCGATGATAACGTGAGTGGCATCATCTGTACTTTGATTCGTCACTCTGACACTAGTTCAGTATCATCGACAACTTCAAGACCGCTGGCCCGCGAACTGACGCGGGGAGGATCACTAGGCGTGCTGGAAGTCCTTCATGCCTAACCCTGGCGCGTGAGCGCACAGCACTTGACAGCCGGTGGCTACGCGCTGTCCGGGCGATGAGTGCCAACACTTGCCGAAGAGTCATAAGGCTCCGAGGTAGCGGACTACGGTTCCGTTCGGGCTCGAAAAGGGTCGGGATGTGGGGTACTCGGGCTTCGCTAGCCTCGGGTGGATGAGAGTCCATTCGGTCGTCCTCCTCGTCGCATTGTGCGTCGAGATGCGCTCTAGAAGCGCTTTACACATTGTTTCTTCGGTAATTTGGTGCGTTGAACTGCACGCCTCTATCTGGATCTGATACTGATAAGCGACTAGCGCCGTTGTCATCAAGATCTTTGCTGGCCCTCGAACCAACGTGGGGAGGATCACTGGGCGTGCTGGAAGTCCTTCACGTCCAGCCCTTGCGTGCAAGCGCACAGCCCATGGCAGCCGGTGGCTACGTGCTGTCAGGACGAAGAGTGCTAACACTTGCCGAAGAGTCATAAGGCTCCAAGGTAGCGGACTACGGTCCCGTTCGGGCTCGAAAAGGGTCGGGATGTGGGGTACTCGGGCTTCGCCAGCCTCGGGTGGACGAGAGTCCGTTCGGTCGTCCTCCTTGACGCATTGAGCGTCGAGATGCGCTGTAGAAGCGCTTCAGAACATTGCTTGGTTGGTGCCTTGGTGCGTTGTACCTTGCGCCTCTCTCTTCTCCTGCTGACGAGCTCCTAGCACTGCGACCTCCAGGATCTCCGCTGGCCCTCGAATCGACGTTGGGAGGATCACTGGGCGTGCTGGAAGTCCTTCACGTTCGGCCCTCGCGCGCAAGCGCACAGCAGCTGGCAGCCGGTGGCCACGCGCTGTCCGGGCGATGAGTGCTAACACTTGCCGGAGAGTCATAAGGCTCCGAGGTGGCGGACTACGGTCCCGTTCAGGCTCGAAAAGGGTCGGGATGTGGAGTGCTCGGGCTTCGCCAGCCTCGGGTGGACGAGAGTCCATTCGGTCGTCCTCCTCGACGCATTGAGCGTCGAGATGCGCTCTAGAAGCGCCTCAGAACATTGCCTGGTCGGTGTCTTGGTGCGTTGTACTTTAGGCTTCTCTCCCCTTCTTCTGCTGACGAGCTCCCAGCACTGTGATCAACAGGATATTCGCTGGCCCGCGAATCGACGTGGGGAGGACCACTGGGCGTGCTGGAAGTCCTTCACGTCCAGCCCTTGCGCTTGAGCGCACAGCACCTGACAGCCGGTGGCTACGCGCTGTCCGGGCGATGAGTGCTAACACTTACCGGAGAGTCATAAGGCTCCGAGGTAGCGGACTAAGGTCCCGTTCAGGCTCGAAAAGGGTCGGGATGTGGGGTACTCGGGCTTCGCCAGCCTCGAATGGGTGGGAGCTCATTCGGTCGTCCTCCTCGGCGCATTGTGCGTCGAGATGCGCTCTAGAAGTGTCGGTTTTCGCAACAACTTCGTATCATATGCCATGTATCATAGTTTCGCCCGGAGCAGGGGTGACTGAGGGCCGATTCCCTTTGGTCGTAGGCGTTTTGGTGGCTACGAGGGGCAACCTCGAGCTGCATTCCTATGTCGCGCAAGACCCGTATGGGCAGGGAGCGGTTACGCCCCGTAATGGCGGATAGGTTAGCCTTCTTGCTCCTCCCTTCGATGGGCAGGGTCGTATGGGAGACGGGCATATTATCAGCCTTGCTCGAATCAATACTGGATGAATGCACCTGGTTACCGCTTTCCGCACAGACTCTCCCGCGTAAAGCCTCGTCGACATTAAATCTCTCCCTGCTTGCAGTATAGGCCTCAGACTATCAGATGACAGGGTATCACATGTTCTTACGTGATAGCTAGTACATCGTCACGAGATTGGCGTGTTTGGCTCGGAGCTCACTCGCTGTAAATTAAATAACGTGTACTCGGGATGTGGGTCAAGTTCCCGTGTTTCTTGTATTATGAGCGGTATATTTATACATGTGCGTCGACTCAATGCTATCTGTGGATAGTAATCACATTGTGTGCTCTTCATCACTATCCCTATTGTGTATATACGATGCACTAGTAAGGCATTCCATAACCTCGCCAGTGAACGACGCTTCAAGTTCCCCATCTAAAAGATCGATCGTGACGTCAGAGAAGCCTTTTCTGCGGCGAGCCTCAAACAGGCGTTCTAGACGACCACGATCAGCAACATGCCACTCCTCTGCTGAGACCACTATGTGATTCAGCCCAGCTAAAGAGCTCGCGGCGGCAACGAGAGTATTCGTATGCCCGGAAAGTAGTAGCGCTACCGGTCTCCCAGCAACGTCGAGTGCTCTCACAACGTCGAGCAATCCCAGATGCGGGCGCGCGACTCTTTCGTCGGCATTGACGAGTGGTGGACCAGACGCCGATAAGCGGAGCGCGATCTCGCGAAGGTGCGTGGTGGGAAGTGCGTCGCCAATGAGGGTGTACAGGAACTCGCGATCACGGATTGGCCATGGATTATCCCACCACATGTCGATACTGAATATGGGATCGCGGTCGTGCGCATGGGTGGTGAGAAGAGAGTGTTGAAAGCATCTGACGGCTAAGGTTCCACGTTCGTAATGTCTTCCATGAGCAAAACTCTCCACCGCAACTAACGGCGTTCCAAGATCGTGCAGCCGAGCGGTAGCTGCTTGGACGTCCATGTGAAGAGATTCTATGCCTGTAGATGTGATGAAAAGACCCAGAGAAACTTGGGTTGAGGCCGGGAACGAAAGCGACCCGAACACTGTCGCAACATTTCCACCGGCGACCAACGAGGCATCAAGCCTTTGTAGATGAGGAAGATTGACAATCTTAGAAGGCTCGATATTGGAGATCTTGGTGTGACCGATCGAAAGGTGTTCGAGTTGGCAAGTCGCGGATAGGGCATAGAGCAGAGCATTTAGCTTAGGGACCGCACGAATGTTCAATGTGGTCAGCGCCTTCGGAAGCATCGGCCGACGAGGTAGGCAAAGACCATCGCCTAATGTTAATGATCTCAAGTTCCGGCAATCCTCGAATCCCTTCTTGGGCAGTTGCTCAAGGAGGTGAGTATTCGCCTGCGTCTGTCGAATCTCGATATGTTCCACGGAAGACATGGAGTGTGTTCCCAAGAATGCGTTGATGTTATGCACGTTTCCACGAATCATAAGTTTACCCAGTCTACCGTCGACGTGGGACATCTTCGTGTTCGCGGAATGGAGATCGTCGGTGGACTCAAGACGAAGGTGTAGATGGATGGGGCGGCACCTCGAGCGCTGCATGTAGGTCGGCAGACTTTGAGGAGATGCCTGTTCCCAAATTTCAGACCATAGCGCAGCAGTTGATTCTGCAGCTTCGAGGAACCGCGGAGACACGAGCATGAAGTTGACGCGAAGTCGGTGACTGGGTTCAGCTAGCCAAGTTGACAGCAGGATCTGTGATATAAGCTCTAAAGGGAGTGGACAGTCTATGCATGGTCAGCATGGCCCGTAGGTCAGCAGTGTAGAAGGGCGCACCGAGGGGAGGATCGATCGTAGCCATGATCGCGAGCCAGTGGTCGTGGCGG